CATTCTACTTAATATTTTTAATCTAACAGGGGTGTCATTGAAGATTTAAAAATTAAAGGGGGTGTCCTTAAATATATGATAAATTACAGGGGATGTGGTTGAAATGTTTTCTTTTTAAAACTATAAAGTACTGGAATACACGTGGCGAGCTCTAGAAATGAAGGGCGGTGAGTGGTGATGAGGTGGCTAAAAGCGCAAAGTGCTAAGTAAGTCACAACTGAGACCATAGACTCTTATCTCATCCTTATCTCACCCCACCTTGCTTTTCAATCCACAACTCTTGGCTTACCCTCTCTCTCTGTCTCTCGTGTTATTTTAGGGACAAGATATTAGATATTTTTTGATTTACTCGTCGTCACAAAAAATATCATTGAATATTTCCGTCCAAATAATTTTTGTGGATATTTATGATTCGTTTCTAGTGGTGGGGTCACAACTTGGTGTGAAAGATGAGTTCTATACTCGCCATTGGAGGTGGGTTGTGGGACCCTTTTGTATTGNTCTAGTGGTGGGGTCACAACTTGGTGTGAAAGATGAGTTCTATACTCGCCATTGGAGGTGGGTTGTGGGACCCTTTTGTATTGTTTTTTCAACCTTTTTGGGTATCAACGTTTTTTTAGTAGGTAACTACTATTTGAACACAATCCACCTTAACTATTTCAAGAAATTATTGGAAGGTAGATGTCTTTCATGTGATATATTAGGGGTAATTTGTGTGTAACGTATGTGTGGAGTGATAGATTTAAAGAGAAAAAAGTTTAATGTAAATGATTTTAAGACCATCGAATAAATTTATTAAAATCTGTCATATTTTTAGATCACTCCATTCTGTATCAATGATGTCCTCGTTTTTAATGTTTTAGTAATCTTTTAATGACTTATTTAATTATATACGAGTAGGGATGTCAATTTTTGAGTTGAATATGAATCCGACTCGAATCGAACCCGAAAATAATACGATTAGTTGACACGAGTTATAAATGAGTCAAATTAAGGTTCGACACGAATAATAAGTACCATAAATAAAAAATAATTATTTAATGAGTATTGTAGATAAAAAAATAAGAATTTTATATTTTTTTTATAATTATTTAAATAGTATTATATTAGTTATTGTCAAATTAAATATTTTTTTATTAACACGAACTTGACACGTACCGAAAATGATACGACATGAAAATAATACGATCAAAAGTAACACAGCACAATTGACACTTCTATATACGAGGGATTGCCATATGCCATTCAAGAATAATACTAGTTAGATCTATATTATTAATATGATATATTATTACAATTATCAGATTATTAGTTCATTCAATAATAGATGTGGTCTATTATTAATCCAATAACAAAAATAAATTGTTGTAAAAATACACATCCACAAAAAATTGGACACGTGGAGACGCACTTTACGGCGAGTACAGTATTTTATATCCACTCGCGAGTATACTTTGGAATATAATAGAATTTTGGGGACCCGATGTGAAATTAAAATGGCCACCTGTTGAGGGCTCTCTTTCAACGAGAGCCACAAGATTCCACCATTTTCTCGATCTTTCTATAAAAAATTTTAAAAAAAATTAAAAATTAAAAACCCAATACAATACTTATTGCATTTTAACTCTGACGTGGCGCNGTTGAGGGCTCTCTTTCAACGAGAGCCACAAGATTCCACCATTTTCTCGATCTTTCTTTCAAAAATTTTAAAAAAAATTAAAAATTAAAAACCCAATACAATACTTATTGCATTTTAACTCTGACGTGGCGTCCCCTTCTCTCATCCTTTTTCTCTTTCTAGCCCCAAAAAAATTATTTCTTTACTTAATACCGAGTCCGCCCTCTTCTCTCCTCCTCCTCCTCCTCCAGCTGCTTCAGAGTAGGCCTCTCTCTCTCTCTCTCTCTCTCTCTCTCTCTCTCTCGACCTTCTGTATAATTAAGGCTTCTCAGTGGTGGGTTCGGTTTGATTTCACTAAGAAATTCCGGCATAGACCTGTATCCTGTTATCGGGAAGCCACTTTCTTCGTCTCTGGATCAACACTTTTCTTCAATTTTTACGGGAAATCCAGTTTGAGAGTTCTATCATTTTTCTTCTCCAGTTAATCTCTGGTTAAATACTTACAGTCCTCGTTAATTTCTCTGGTCTACATGTTGAGATTTTCTCATTTTTTTTCCTTGTTATCTACTTGAAATCAAGGGATTTTTGAGGTTTTTCTCTCTGTGTGTCTGGTGATTGGGGATTCTGTGGTTTGTAATCTGGGGTTGAGGTGTTTTATATTAGTTTTTGGTCATTTGGATCAATTGATTTGGGATGATGCAGCTGAAAAGTAGGTGTAGACAAGAAAATTTGAGTATTTATCTGGTAGTTTGTTTAGATCCAGAAGTGGTTCTGTGACAACACAGAATTGTTTGGTTCACTTTGGAAAAGGAAACTCCCGTAGAAAAATTTCATCGATTCCGGGAAGGGTATAAGGAAGTTGTCTTCACTACCAAGAAACTTTAAGGGTTTCTTCAGCCATGGCTGCCCAGGTATGCAATAAGTCAATAAACATCATTCATTACATGTCGAGAGATTTCTAATGGTTTTACTCATATAGTTATATAACTAGTTGTCTGCTCCTTGCTAGCTTTAATTTCTGTTCTAGATTCACTAGGCATGACTTTGACTTTCCCTATATGCCCATAAATAATTATAGGTTTGGCATAGCAGTGCATGTTCTAATTGGGTAGTTGTAGAATCGTTTTGAGTTAGAAGCTAAATTGGGTATTCTCAGAAATTAGATATGGTTGGAATTGGAAGGTATCTTTTTTAACACTTGTGTGGTCCATTTGCCATTGATATTTCTCATGTGAAAATCCTGTATAATTAAGGGTGATCTTACCCTGTTTCTAAAGGAGGCATTAGAGTGTAGTAAATAATGGTTCTTCATTTGATTTGGGACTTAAAGTCAACTTATTCTTGCAAAATGGTGAGATTCTGTATCACAACAGAAGTACCTAAATGAGCAAAATCACTAATTGTTGCCAGACTTTCAGTGTGTATTTCAAAAACTTTACTGTTGAGCTGGGGGATTACTTTTGAACTTTGTTATTAGCTTCATGTTCTGGATGGTTATAGAGATTAGTGCGAGAGCTAGAGGGCTTCTTCTCAATGTCTCTTGTTTCCTTTTAATATAGGATCAAAATGATGGCAATCGGTCAAATGATGCTCTCCTGCACAACAACCAAATCTCTCACATAAAGGAGCAATTTGCTTCTGGGGATGATTATGCTCCAAAGGTTTGTGCTTGCTATGATCCACTTATTTTCCAAGAATAAATAAAATTGTATTTTCATTGGCTTTCTTTTGTATTTAGTTTTCTTTATTTTGATTTTTATTCCAATAGGTGAGGAAACCATACACGATAACAAAACAGAGAGAGAGGTGGACAGAAGAAGAGCATAAAAAGTTTCTTGAAGCTCTAAAACTGTATGGTCGAGCTTGGCGGCGCATAGAAGGTAAAGTTTTTGAGCATTGTTACTGCTTTCATTTCCCCTTTGACCATTATAATTATAAATTCTGAACTTTCTTCAATATTTTTACAGAACATGTGGGCACCAAGACAGCGGTGCAGATTAGAAGCCATGCTCAAAAATTCTTCTCTAAGGTTTACTGCTCTTATACCTGTATCAATTCTCTACCGTTATATATATATCCACTCCCCTTTGAAGTAAGTTAAATATCAAGACCCTAAGGCATGCAAACGTTCTTAAGGGTTGATACGTTCAAAATCAATGTCATTCTTATCCCGAATACATTTTTCTCTGCGATTAGGTGGTTCGTGAGTCAAGTAGCAATGATGCAAGCTCAGTGAAACCCATTGAAATTCCTCCTCCTCGTCCGAAAAGAAAACCTATGCATCCATATCCTCGTAAATTGGTAACACCAATCAAAGTGGGAACCCAAATTCCCGAACAACCAACAAGATCAACCTCTCCAAATTTGTCCCTATCTGAAGAAGAAAACCACTCTCCTACTTCAGTTTTGTCTGCCATTGGTTCAGACATGCTAGGTTCAACTGGCTCAACACCAGATGGTAGTCCGTCACCAATTTCATCTGCTGCCGGTGACCAACCTGGTGGTGTCTTCTTATCTGAACCTATTTCATCACCAGAAGAACAAGCATCTTCATCACCTGTTCAAAGAAATGCTAGATCAACCCCAGACGAGCACATTGCTGTGGTACTAACTCCTTCAACATTCGGCCGTTGTTCCGTTTTGGTAATTTTAATTTTCTTTGTCCTGAGTACACCTTTACTGAATTGGTCTCTATATGTCCAGAAGTTGGAGTTATTTCCCCAAGATGATGATTTGGTTAAAGAAAGTTCGACTGAGGCAGCATCAACCCAAAGCTTGAAGCTCTTTGGGAAGACCGTCCTAGTTACAGATTCGCATAGACCAGCTTCTCCAACCACAGGGACTTCCAAATTACTGGCTCAAGATATGAATGACGGGAAACCTGTGCAAACAATGCCTTGGAACATAATGCCCACAAGTGCTTTACCTGCTGCAGCATCTGCGGCACTCTATTATGTGCCACTCCCAAATGAAAACTCAGATCTGGTTGAAGCTGGTTCTTTTCCTTCTCTTCCATGGTGGAATTTTTTCGGAGGCATGCCATTTCCTTTCTCCCAATTGCATAACCCAGTTTCTGTGAAAGCATATTCATCTTCTGATGGTCAACAAGCTCAAGATAAAGAAATTCAAAAGGATGGATCTTGGACTGGTTCGAACACTGGATCAGTAAATGCAGGGGAAGACGGGGACAAGAATTGGGACGTTGAGACCCAGAGCCACCAACTCTCTTCGGACAAGGGGGAGATCATGCAAAAGCTTACATTGGCTTTCAAACCAAGTGGTCTGGTTCAAAGAACTAGCCCTTGTAAGAGTTCGAGGGGGTTTGTGCCTTATAAGAGGTGTTTAGCGGAGAGGGATGTCCAGTCATCGACAGTAACTGGCGAAGAGAGGGAAGAGCAAAGAATTCGTCTTTGCCTGTAGTGGGCTCCCTTGGTTTTCCCAATGTGCAGTTAAATTTGTTGGTAGAGATTTTTAAACTGGTTGAGGACCTGGTTTAGGTTGAGTGTAGTGAGGAAACTGCAGTGGTTTCAGCTGCTAAATGCCCGGAAAATGTGAAGGCCGGAAACTGTGAAGGATTGTGGTGGCTACAGTGGCTGCCGCTCCAGCTTTGCGAAGTCCCACCTCTTTCTCTCTCTCCAAATGTTAAAATTATTCAAATCTGTTGTCTTTGACTTGCCTGTGCAATGTATAAAGTTCTCTCTTGCATAGTCCTGGGCATTAGCTTTTGTATTACTTGTAATTCTCCTCCTTTCTCATCCTTAATGTGAATTATAAGCCCACTTTAATTTTGTTCATTCCTGGCTTCATTTTCATTTGACTTACTAGTCTATCAGGCACGGGTAGTAACTCACAAGGTGCATTGTCTCCACAGGTCTGAAATGGACGGACCTAACTTCTTGTGTCTTTAAGCAGTTTAATTGCCATTACATACAGCAAGAGGATACATAATCCAGTAGAGAGGTTCTCCTTTTGACGCGTTGTGTACAATTTGTGTCGAGAAATCTGTTGAGTTTTGGTTTATTTTACTATTTTGAATGAATTTGAATTTGCCAAAACTAATTGGGTACACTGATTTACTGTCATATTATTGATATTAAAAAGAAGATCGATGGCTTTTACCGATTACTAGTAAATTAGGTCTACAAAACTTGTGATCGAACTTAAAAAGTTAGCATCAATTTGAAGTTTTTAGATCGATTCCTCGATCAGCTATTAGTCATCGATTTGTCTATCAGCTATTAATAAGGTGTTGTGTCATCGACTAGCTCATCAAATGCGAGGCCGCGGATTCCTGTATTGTCATAATTCTTTGGCCGTACCGAAGTATTGGCGTGTTCAAAAGTCCAAGATAAGAGAGCAAATGTTAAACACTAGCCTCACCATCAGGTAACCAGCACAAAACTATTCCATTCTCCGGACTTTTTTTGTCTCTGGCTCAATGCGACGACGAAAGAAATGACTNAGAGCAAATGTTAAACACTAGCCTCACCATCAGGTAACCAGCACAAAACTATTCCATGCTCCGGACTTTTTTTGTCTCTGGCTCAATGCGACGACGAAAGAAATGCTCCGGACTATTTCATCACTTTTTTTTTTTTTTCTAATTAGGATAATCTTTTCTACTAACTAATTAGATCATATTATTATTTTGGGAGAATTACGCCTAAACTTTTTGAAATTTGTCACTTAATCACTCAGACTCTTTGATATTTGAAATATTACACACAAATCTTTTAAAATTTGTACTCGCATAACACTTAGATCTTTGCTGTAATATATCGTTTAATAAATTATACTCAGACCCCCTGAAATTTGTAAACATATATTTTATAATGTCAAGGGANATATTTGAAATATTACACACAAATCTTTTAAAATTTGTACTCGCATAACACTTAGATATTTGCTGTAATATATCATTTAATAAATTATACTCAGACCCCCTGAAATTTGTAAACATATATTTTATAATGTCAAGGGTATGAGTGATTAAGTGACAAATCTCAAGAGACCTAAGTGTAATTCTCCCTATTATTTTTTACATTCTCAGCTAAATTATATTAATTTTTTGTATGTTTACGTGACACTACAATATGTTTTCAAAAGGTGATATTACATAATTAACTTTAACCAATCCTTTTAAATGTTTACTCTGATGATTACATATTAGGGCATTTCAAACCCCTACCTAAATTTAGACTCAAATTTAATTTTGAGTAAAAAAATCTAAAAAATTTGCTTTAACCTTTCACTCAAACTTATACCAAATTAAGAAAAACTTATTTTTTTACTCAAATCAAAGGAAATTCAAGTCGTTAGTAAAATCTTTAATGGTGAGATTTCACAATTTTTTAAAGATCCAATAGTTATTCTTACTCCCTTTTAAATTTGGGTTTGCCTTCATTTAAATTTGAGTTTGCCTGCATTTAAATTTGAGTTTGTTNCTTATACCAAATTAAGAAAAACTTATTTTTTTACTCAAATCAAAGGAAATTCAAGTCATTAGTAAAATTTTTAATGGTGAGATTTCACAATTTTTTAAAGATCCAATAGTTATTTTTACTCCCTTTTAAATTTGGGTTTGCCTTCATTTAAATTTGAGTTTGCCTGCATTTAAATTTGAGTTTGTTCATTGGAGTCTTTTATATCAAATCAAAATTTTTACTCAAATATTAATTTAAATTTGAGTTATGATTGAAGATACTCTTACCCAAGTAAAACGCGAGATACTATATATGCCTAACAAGAGTAGATCCATACTCTAAAAGTCTGTTTGATATGTTTTTTGGGAGGAATTTGGATTTGATTATCCAAATTCGGGTTTTACCAAAGATGGGATTCAAAGATGGGTTTGAGGGGGTTAATGCTATCCATGCCCGTGTTTAGTATGCGCAGGANTATATATGCCTAACAAGAGTAGATCCATACTCTAAAAGTCTGTTTGATATGTTTTTTAGGAGGAGTTTGGATTTGATTATCCAAATTCGGGTTTTACCAAAGATGGGATTCAAAGATGGGTTTGAGGGGGTTAATGCTATCCATGCCCATGTTTAGTATGCGCAGGGTATATTACTATTATAATAATATATTTGTATATATTTAATTTTTTTGTCCCTTAACCAATTTGTATATATGAGGTATATAGGATATATAGGGGTATAAATGTCAGTTGTATGTTAAACCCCCAAACCACCAAATGAAACTCATCCCCCTTGGGTTTCATGATCGGGCCGAGTTTGAAATCCTATCCATATTTCATGGTTGCCAAACATGGGTTTATGGGGGTTTACTCCCCAACCCATG